AGATCTGAAGAAAGTAAAACATCCCGCTCGATTACGTTGGTCATGCCCGACCGTGTGCAAAAAAATTGCCACTTGTTCCTCAATTCGAACATATTTACTATCAATCAATCCATATGTTTTCAAACGAGCGCAAAATCTTGGAAAAGAACCTATCTTCATCCTAAGTAGATCACGACATGTTCTATCACTCGTTCCAAACATCTGTGTAAGTGTCATTTGTCTTTCAGAATCCCAATTTCTATGAGGAGCCCTAGGGAGATGTCGTTCACGACGTCTAATATCAGTGTATAGCACAATCGCCTGCATGACCATTGTCCAAAATAAACCCAAATGTTGTCGTTGGCGTCTACGTTGATTCCTTGTTGTAGCCATGTTACCCACTACCATGTATTAAGTAAATATTCAATAGAAAAACCATGTACATTACATATTTTAATTATACCAGACAAAAATAATTAATTTAGCCCTTTGAATATAAAACAAACATATATATATTTCAGTGTGATAGATTAATAAGATGTTACCTTGTTCTTTTTGATTGGTTATTGATTGGAATTTTGGATTTTTAATCTGATGCTATATTCCATCCTAGAGGGACAGGTGAGACAGTTTTTCTCTAATGACTCTTTTCTAGAAACTTTAGAGCTCAATTTCAGTATCTCTATTATTTACCTCTAAGCATTCTACATATTTTCCAGATTTAATCTAGTTGAACTCTATTGGAGAATTATTTCTGAAATACTCTTCTATTCTACTTTATATGTCAAGGTCTGCTGCATGTCACTTTCTCCATACAAATTTTCAAGGTCTGATTTGATCTATTATGCATATATGCGGATTACTTACTATAAAGCTATGTATCATTCAAATTAAATTCTGTTCAAGTGGGATGTTTCTATTGATGCATCTGCTGGGCCACATGAGTCTTTCAGTTCCTTCATATTTTGTTAAAAGTCTATCTCTTCATGTGCTTGTTGAAATAATCACAAAAATTACCTCCACGATAGTGATGACGTGTGGGGTGTTCCGGCTGCTCCGATCAACGAATGTTACCTGCAAAATGAGGTCGGGGCTTTTTCCCCCGTTGTACCTCCGGCGTGAGAATCAGTAGTTAGTTTTAGGGAGTAAGCGGAGAGTATATGAGCATTCAATAAGCTCGAGTTCTAAGAAGACCTAACCTTTCTCACTTTGGAGGTATTTATAGGCACTTGTTGCT